TCCTGCACCTGTCCCGGTCAGACTAGCTGACCCCTCTGGGGGCCCGGTCGTTGCCCGTTCCTCCATTGTCCTCCCGTGTCCGGCGGTTCCGTCCGGCTCACTGTCAGGTCTTCACCTCCCCTCGTTGTCTACGAACTTGGTGAGTACCGCTGCCCTCCTGGATGCGATGGTCACTACCACCACTCCAGGGGGTCAGCGTGTGTCGATCTGCACGTGCACACGGACGGGACATCACCTGGCCAGGTTCAATCGTCGGCCTGGGTCAAGTCTGTACACACTAGCTACCGAGCCTCCTCAGGTAGATGCGTCTGCTCAGGTGTCCGCGTCAGGTCAGGTAGCCGCCTCTTACTCGTGTCGCCTCCTGTCGCACCAGACTCTTATGTGGCACCACCGCCTGGGTCACCCCTCCCTGCCACGCCTTTGTGACATGCACTCTCGTCTTCTTGTCTCTGGTCTTCCCAGGTCTCTGCCTCCCCTCCCGCAATCGCCTGCCCCACCCTGCCTTCCGTGCGTCGAGGGGCGGCAGCGCACCGCTCCTCACTCCTCCTCGTTTCCCCCGACGACTGCTCCACTGCAGACTCTCCACATCGACGTGTGGGGCCCAGCCCGCGTCACTGGACGGAGCCGCGAGCGGTACTTTCTGCTGGTAGTTGACGACTACACGCAGTACACCACGGTCTTTCCCTTGAGCAGCAAGGGTGAGGTCGTTGATGTCTTGATCCCTTGGATCTGCACAGTCCGTCTCCAGCTCCGCGAGCGGTTCGGCCAGGACCTTCCTGTCCTGCGTCTGCACTCTGACAGAGGTGGTGAGTTCTCCTCCAACCTCTTGTGGGAATTTTGTCGTGGGGAGGGCATTCTCCAGTCGTTCACGCTTCCGGATTCCCCTCAGCAAAATGGGATTGCTGAGCGCCGCATTGGCTTAGTCATGGAGGTCGCTCGTACCTCTATGATCCATGCTGTTGCTCCCCATTTTCTGTGGTCGTTTGCGGTCCGGTATGCTGCGCATCAGCTCAACCTCTGGCCCCGTGTCTCCTTACTGGAGACCTCCTCCACACTGCGTTGGACGGGGGAGGTTGGCGATGCGTCGGTGTTCTGGTTCTGGGGTTATCATGCCTTTGTTCGTGATACGTCCACGGACAAGCTCTCCGCCCGTGCTATCCCCTGCGTCTTCCTTGGCTTTGTCCCTGACGCGCCTGGCTGGCAGTTTTACCACCCCACCTCGCGACGTGTCCTCCCGTCTCAGGACGTCACGTTCGACGAGTCGATTCCCTTCTACCGTCTCTTCCCCTACCGCTCTGCCCCTCCCCCGCCCCCGCCGCTCTTCCTTTCTCCCGGTCCCCCTCCGGTAGACCCCCTCCTGCCCCAGGGTCCTGCTCCCTCAGGTGTGTCTCAGGTAGACCCTCCCCCTGGTACTGCGCCTGTGGAGGTAGCTGTCGGCTCAGGTGCTGCTCCACGTGCTGCGTCTAGGGGTGCTGCATCTGGGGGTGCGGGGTCTGAGGGTGCTGGGTCTGGGGGTGCTGAGCCTGGGGGTGAGGAGCATGGGGGTGCTGAGCCTGAGGGTGTGGAGCCTGGGGGTGCTGAGTCGGAGGGTGCGGAGTCTGGGGGTGCTGAGCCTCGGGGTGCTGCTTCGACTGGAGGTCCTGCTGGTGCTTTGCCGCGACTGTCTCCGCAACCGCTACGTGAGTGGCTTGTTCGGCGCGCAGGCCTTCTTAGTGGAGCTCCCGGCGGTGGAGGCGCTTGAGACGCTGGAGCTGGAGGTGCTGGAGTGACTGCTGGAGCTAGTGGTACTGGAGGTACTGCAGCTGCTGGTCCCGAAGGTGCTCGTACAAGGGGTGCTGGAGCTACCGGGACTGGTGGTGTTGGGGGAGTTAGAGCTGGAGACCCTACGAAGCCTGGAGCTGCTGAGCTGGAGGCTCTTGCGCTGGTGGAGCTGGCGTTGGAGGCGCTGGAGCGGGAGGAGCTGGAGCTGGAGGCACTGGCGCGGGAGGCGCTGGAGCTGCCGGAGCTGGAGCTGTTGACCCTAGAGCTGGAGGTGCTGGAGGCACTGTGCGGCCACGACTGTACTTCATTCCTCTTCTTCAGTTGGTTCTTGGAGACCCGTCTTCTACTGCCCTTACTCCTCCCTTACTGTGTCCACTGCCTGACCAGTCGTGGCGGCCGTTACAGCCAGCCTCCCCCCTACCTGCTCCCTCTCCTTACACTGAGCAATCCATCGGTCTTACAGAGCGTCGTGAGCCTGCGTCTCGCCCTGTCTCGCCTGTTCGCACTGCTCGTCGCGTTCCTCGTTCGCGTCCTCCTCCTGTCCTCGGCACGCACGCTATGGCACTCCGTCAAACCTCTGTTCCACTGCGTGTTCCTCTGCCTGCTCCTCCTGAGTCCTCTCTTCCTAAGGTCCCTGACCCTGAGTCTGACCGCGCTCGTGCTGCAAGTCCCACTGTCTCTCGTCTCCTCGCCACTGCTGTCACTGACCCTTCTTTTGAGTCTGCTGCTGCGTCTGCTCTCGTTGCTGAGCTGCTTGACTTTGCTACTGCCTGCCGTCTAGACTACGCCACTGATCTTGTTGCTGAGTCTGAGTCTGCCAGTCCTCCGTCCGTCGGGGGTGAGTGTGCTCTTGGCACGGGCGTCCTTGAGGATAGGCAGGAGGACTTTGAGTGTCTTGCAGCTGCTGTACCTCGTTTCGCGTCCATGCTGCTTGCCCCTGAGGGAGACCCGGATGCACCAGACATCCCAACCCCGCGCTCTTATGTAGAGGCGATTACGGGTCCTTACTCCTCTCAGTGGCAGGCAGCCATGGATGCCGAGATGGCATCCTGGAAGTCCACAGGCACCTACGTTGATGTGGTTCCCCTACCCGGGGCGAACATAGTCGATGGCATGTGGATCTTCAGGGTGAAGTGGCCGCCGAGTTCTCCGCCTGCCTTCAAGGCGCGTTACGTTGCTCGAGGGTTCAGTCAGCGACAGGGAGTTGAATACTTCCAGACCTTCTCCCCCACCCTGAAGATAACTACTCTTCGGATGTTGCTGCACGTCGCTGCTCAGCGTGACTATGAGTTGCACTCTCTGGACTTCAGCACTGCTTTCTTGCAGGGCAGCCTGCACGAGGAGATCAGGCTGTGCTGCCCACTAGGCTTCACTGAGTCTTTTCCTGCAGGTACTCAGTGGAGCCTCCGGCGGCCAGTCTACGGTCTCCGCCAGGCGCCTCGCGAGTGACACCGAGGACTACACTTGCGGCTCTTGGGTTTGCTCCTGCTACTGCTGACCCGTCGCTGTTTCTACGCACCGTCGTTCGCCTCCAGTTCTGTACGTAGACAACAAGGCCATGATTGCCTTGTGTCAGGAGCACAGACTAGAGCACTAAAACGAAGCACATCGCTCTGCGATACTTCCTTGCTCGAGAGTTGCAGCAGCGTGGCCAGCTTCGTCTTGCGTACGTGGCCACTAGGGCCAACACTGGTGATATATTCACCAAGGCACTTCTGCTTGGTGATCATCAGCGCTTCTCTACTGTGCTAGGCCTTGTGCCTACTTTGCCTCACTTGCTTACTGCTTGACTCTGCTTGTACTGTGATCTATATATATACCTGCATGCTTGCACTTGTTGGGATATGATCACCGTATTGTTTGTTCTCTTTATATCACTCTGCATGTGAACTGGCCTTGTGGCCCTTTGCTTGTGCCTGCACTGTGTGGTGACTTTGTGATCCACCCTGAGCTTGCTTTGCTTTTCTTGACTGGTCTTGTGACCACTTGTTCTCCCCCACTTTGCCTATGGGGGTGTGTCAAAACATTATAGCTTTTACATTTGTGTAGGCTATAGTGGGGTAGCCCATTAGGGGTACAACCCAATTAAGGTTAGTACTTGTACCCAAATCTTTCATAGTCTATCCATTCTCGTTCGTTCTTTCTGACACACCACCTGCTGCCCTCCTAGCCACCCTTTCGACCCATAGGCCCCCTAGGCCTCGACCCGTCGCCTCTAGCCGCAGCCCCTTGGCCCTGTCGCCCCTAGCCATGGCCCCTTGGCCCCGTCGCCCCGTCACCCTAGCCACGGCCCCTAGCGACCCGTCGCCCCGTCGCCCCTAGCCGCGACTCCTAGCCACGGCCCCTTGGCCCCGTCGCCCCTAGTCGCGGTCCCTTGGCCGCGTCGCCCCGTCGACCTAGCCGCGGCCCCGTCGCCCTAGCCTCGGCCCCTAGCGACCCGCGACCCTTCGCTCCTAACCGGGGCCCCGTCGCCCTGTCGCCCTAGCCTCGGCCCCTAGCGATCCGCGACCCGACGCCCCGTCCCCCCCCCCCCCCCCCCCCCCCCCCCGCCTCGGCCCATCGCGACCCGTCGCCCCTAGCCGCGGCCCCGTCGCCCCATCGCCCTAGCCTCGGCCCCTAACGACCCGTCGCCCTAGCCTTGGCCCCCCCCTTGACCTCGGCCCCTCGGCCCCTCGGCCCCTAGGCCCCACGCCCCTCGGCCCCTTGGCCCCTCGGCCCCCTGGGCCCCCCCTTCATGTTTGGCCCCTCGGCCCCTAGGCCCCTCGGCCCAGCCCCTCGGCCCCTCGGCCCCTAGGCCCTCGGCCCCTCGGCCCCTTGGCCCCTCAGCCCCTCGGCCCCTTGGCCCCTTGGCCCCTAGGCCCCCCCCTTCGTGTTTGGCCCCTCGGCCCCTAGGCCCCTCGGCCCCGCCCCTCGGCCCCTCGGCCCCTCGGCCCCTAGGCCCCAGGACCCTAGGCCCCTTGGCCCCTCGGCCCCTAGGCCCCCCCCCCCTTCGTGTTCGGCCCCTCGGCCCCTAGGCCCCAGGCCCCTCGGCCCCTTGGCCCCTCGGCCCCTAGGCCCCCCCTTCGTGTTCGGCCCCTCGGCCCCTAGGCCCCTCGGCCCCGCCCCTCGGCCCCTCGGCCCCTCGGCCCCTCGGCCACCTTGGCCTCTCTGTCCCTGGTGCTACTACTGCTGCTACTGCTACAGCTGCTACTGCTGCTGCTGCTACTGCTGCTACTGCTGCTCCTGCATGCTGCACAGCTATGGCTTCGCTTAGGAATCTCGCGTTCGAGCATGAGGGCAGACCGGTTCAGTTTTACACGTGGCTCGACGACCTGCAGCTATACCTATTGAGCGATTCTAAGGACAGTGTTTCGCTGTTTGGCCTTGCGTCAGGCGCCGCCCCTGCCCCTCCCGCCACAGCTGACAGTGCGACTCGCTCACAGTGGCTTACTCGCGACGCTGCTGCCCGCTTGGCCATTCGCAACCACCTGCCGTTAGCCGAATGTGCCCACTTCGGACAGCACAGGACAGCACAAGCACTGTACGCCGCAGTCGTAGCTCGCTACTCCTCGCCTGCCACTGCTGCTCTAGGCCGACTGCTACTGCCCTACCTGTTCCCCGAGCTGTCAGCTTTTGCCACAGTAGAGGACTTAGTTTCCCACCTGCGCACTAGCAACGCTCGCTACCACGCTACCGTCCCTGCTGAATTCCTTGACAGGAACCAGCCCCTGATGTTCATCACCCTCTACTTCATAGTCACTCGCCTCCCAGACTCTCTTCGCTCTGTCAGGGACCAATTTCTCTTTCTTGACCCCACCTCCCTCACTGTTGACCTCCTCGAGCAGCATCTCCTCGCAGCTGAGAGTAGTGCAGTTGCTGTAGGTGCTGCTCGTGGCACTCCGCGCCCGCCCTTCTTTGAGGGGTGCTCCCCCTCCCCCCTTGCCCCCTCCTACGCCTCTGCTTCTGCTGCAGACGTCTCAGTTGCTGAGGACGTCGGGGCTGCTTCTGCTAGTGCGAAGCGCCGCAGCACCAAGGGCAAGGGTGGCAGGGGTGGTGGGGGTGGCAGCGGTGGTGGTGGAGGTGGCAGCGGGAGTGGTGGTGGGGGCAGCAGTGGAGGTAGTGGAGGCAGTGGAGGTGGTGACGGCGGTGGGACTGGTGGCGGGAGTGGGGGCTCTGGTGGCGGCGGTGGAGGCAGCGGTGGGAGTGGCAGCAGTGGAGGTGGTGGGATTGGAGGCGGTAGGGCTGGACCTAGGCATGGAGGCCCTGGTGATGGCCAGCGGCAGCAGCAGCAGCGTCGTAGCGAGACTCAGTCGCCCCAGCAGCTCCGTGAGTGGTTGTTTCAGTGTGGGATGTCTGGGGGTAGTGATAGCTGCCCGTATAACATTTGCACGGGTGTTCGTGCTGGTCAGACATGCGGGAAGTTTCATACTCAGCAGCGCTGCTTCTCTCGCCTCGACGTCGAGCTCCCTCGCTGGGCAGATCTGCTTAGGTCTAGGATTGCTATCTTTGACCTAGACTTTGATGCTATTCTTTCTGCCATGTATGCTTTGTCTGTTAGTGCTGAGGGTGACTGTTACTAGTGTGTGCTGCCTGACCTAGGTATAGCTGCTGCTGCTCTAGGTGCTAGTCAGTCTGGTACTCTCCCTGGTACTGCGCTTGCTCAGGCCTTGCACACCTTCACGTTGGACTCAGGCGCCTCGCGCTGTTTCTTTCGTGACAGCACCACTCTCACTCCTCTCCCTGCACCTGTCCCGGTTTGACTAGCTGACCCCTCTGGGGGCCCGGTCATTGCCCGTTCCTCCACTGTCCTCCCGTGTCCGGCGGTTCCGTCCGGCTCACTGTCAGGTCTTCACCTCCCCTCGTTCTCTACGAACTTGGTGAGTACCGCTGCCCTCCAGGATGCGATGGTCACTACCACCACTCCTGGGGGTCAGCGTCTGTCGATCTGCACATGCACATGGATGGGGCGTCACCTGGCCACGTTCACTCGTCGGCCAGGGTCGAGTTCATACACACTCGCTACCGAGCCTCCTCAGGTAGCTGCGCCTGCTCAGGTGTCCGCGTCAGGTCAGGTAGCCGCCTCTTGCTCGTGTGGCCTCCTGTCGCACCAGACTCTTCTGTGGCACCACCGCTTGGGTCACCCCTCCATGCCACGCCTTCATGGCATGCACTCTCGTCTTCTTGTCTCTGGTCTTACCAGGTCTCTGCCTCCCCTCCCGCCCTCGCCTGCCCCGCCCTGCCTTCCGTGCGTCGAGGGGCGGCAGCGCGCCGCTCCTCACTCCTCCTCGTTTCCCCCGACGACTGCTCCACTGCAGACTCTCCACATGGACGTGTGGGGCCCAGCCCGCATCAGTGGACAGAGCCGCGAGCGGTACTCTCTGCTAGTAGTTGACGACTGCACGCGGTACACCACGGTCTTCCCCTTGCGCAACAAGGGTGAAGTCGTTGATGTCTTGATCCCTTGGATCTGCACAGTCCGTCTCCAGCTCCGCGAGCGGTTCGGCCAGGACCTTCCTGTCTTGCGTCTGCACTCTGACAGAGGTGGTGAGTTCTCCTCCAACCTCTTGTGGGACTTGTGTCGTGGGGAGGGCATTCTCCAGTCGTTCATGCTTCCGGACTCCCCTCAGCAAAATGGGATTGCTGAGCGTCGCATTGGCTTAGTCATAGAGGTCGCTCGTACCTCCATGATCCATGCGGCAGCTCCCCATTTTCTGTGGCCGTTTGCGGTCCGGTATGCTGCACATCAGCTCAACCTCTGGCCCCGTGTCTCCTTGCCGGAGACCTCGCCCACACTGCGTTGGACGGGGGAGGTTGGCGATGCGTCGGTGTTCCGGGTCTGGGGATCTCGTGCCTTTGTTCGCGATACGTCCGCGGACAAGCTCTCCGCCAGTGCTATCCCCTGCGTCTTCCTTGGCTTTATCCCTGACGCGCCTGGCTGGCAGTTTTACCACCCCACCTCGCACCATGTCCTCCCGTCTCAGGACGTCACGTTCGATGAGTCGGTTCCCTTCTACTGTCTCTTCCCCTACCGCTCTGCCCCTCCCCCACCCCCGCCGCTCATCCTTGCTCCCGGTCCCCCTCCGGTAGACCCCCTCCCGCCCCAGGGTCCTGCTTCCTCAGGTGTGTCTCACGTAGACCCTCTCCCTGGTACTGCGCCTGTCGAGGTAGCTGTCGGCTCAGGTGCTGCTCCACGTGCTGCGTCTGGGGGTGCGGAGCCGGGGGGTGCGGGGTCTGAGGGTGCTGGGTCTGGGGGTGCTGAGCCTGGGGGTGATGAGCCTCGGGGTGCTGCTTCGACTGGAGGTCCTGCTGGTGCTTCGCCGCGACTCTCTCCGCAACAGCTGCGTGAGTGGCTTGTTCGGCGCGCACGCCTTTGGAGTGGAGCTCCTGAAGATCGAGGCGTTGGAGACGCTAGAGCTGGAGGTGCTGGAGTTACTGCTGGAGCTAGTGGTACTGGAGGTACTGCGGCTGCTTGTCCTGGAGGTGCTCGTACCAGGGGTGCTGGAGCTGCCGGGACTGGTGGTGTTGGGGGCGCTAGAGCTGGAGACCCTACGGAGCCTGGAGCTGCTAGAGCTGGAGGCTCTTGCGCTGGTGGAGCTGGCGTTGGAGGCGCTGGAGCGGGAGGAGCTGGAGTTGGAGGCACTGGCGTGGGAGGCTCTGGAGCTGCCGGAGCTGGAGCTGTTGACCCTAGAGCTGGAGGTGCTGGAGGCACTGTGCGGCCACGACTGTACTTCGTTCCTCTTCTTCAGTTGGTTCTTGGAGACCCGTCTTCTACTGCCCTTACTCCTCCCTTACTGTTTCCACCGCCTGACCAATCGTGGCGGCCGTTACAGCCAGCCTCCCCCCTACCTGCTCCCTCTCCTTACACTGAGCAATCCATCGGTCTTACAGAGCGTCGTGAGCCTGCGTCTCGCCCTGTCTCGCCTGTTCGCACTGCTCGTCGCGTTCCTCGTTCGCGTCCTCCTCCTGTCCTCGGCACGCACGCTATGGCACTCCGTCAATCCTCTGTTCCACTGCGTGTTCCTCTGCCTGCTCCTCCTGAGTCCTCTCTTCCTGAGGTCCCTGACCCTGAGTCTGACCGCGCTCGTGCTGCAAGTCCCACTGTCTCTCGTCTCCTCGCCACTGCTGTCACTGACCCTTCTTTTGAGTCTGCTGCTGCGTCTGCTCTCGTTGCTGAGCTGCTTGACTTTGCTACTGCCTGCCGTCTAGACTACGCCACTGATCTTGTTGCTGAGTCTGAGTCTGCCAGTCCTCCGTCCGTCGGGGGTGAGTGTGCTCTTGGCACGGGCGTCCTTGAGGACAGGCAGGAGGACTTTGAGTGTCTTGCAGCTGCTGTACCTCGTTTCGCGTCCATGCTGCTTGCCCCTGAGGGAGACCCGGATGCACCAGACATCCCAACCCCGCGCTCTTATGTAGAGGCGATTACGGGTCCTTACTCCTCTCTGTGGCAAGCAGCCATGGATGCCGAGATGGCATTTTGGAAGTCCACATGCACCTACGTCGATGAGGTTCCCCCACCTGGGGCGAACATAGTCGATGGCATGTGGATTTTCAGGGTGAAGCGGCCGTCGGGTTCTCCGCCTGCCTTCAAGGCGCGTTACGTTGCTCGAGGCTTCAGTCAGCGACAGGGAGTTGACTACTTCCAGACCTTCTCCCCCACCCCAAAGATGACTACTCTTCGGGTGTTGCTGCACGTCGCTGCTCAGCGTGACTACGAGTTGCACTCTCTGGACTTCAGCACAGCTTTCCTGCAGGGCAGCCTGCATGAGGAGATCTGGCTGCGCCGCCCACCAGGCTTCACTGAGTCTTTTCCTGCAGGTACTCAGTGGAGCCTCCGGCAGCCAGTCTATGGTCTCCGCCAGGCGCCTCGCGAGTGGCACGACACAGTGAGGACTACACTTGCGGCTCTTGGGTTTGCTCCTGCTACTGCTGACCCGTCGCTGTTTCTACGCACCGACACCTCGCTGCCGCCGTTCTACGTCCTCGTCTACGTCAACGACCTCGTCTTTGCCACTGCTGACACTGAGGCACTGACCCTTGTGAAGTCGGAGCTGTAGAAGAGACACACCTGCACTAACCTGGGTGAAGTGCGCAGCTATCTTGGCTTGCAGATCACCCGGGACAGAGCACGGCGCACCATCACCCTGCCTCAGTCACACATCTGGATCAGGGCCTTCAGCGCTTCGGCTTCCAGTTCTCCTCGCCACAGCTCACTCCTCTGTCTACCAGCCACTCGCTCTCAGCTCCACCTACGGATGAGTCCGTAGAGCCGAGTGGTCCGTACCCAGAGCTTGTGGGCTGCCTCATGTACCTGATGACGTGCACACGACCTGACCTCGCGTACCCTCTCAGCCTTCTGGCTCACTACGTGGCTCCCGGCAGGCACCGAAAGGTGCACAGGGATGCTGCGAAGAGGGTACTGCGTTACTTGTGCAGTACGTTGGGCATGGGGCTCGTGCTTGGAGGACGGGGTCCAGTTGTCCTCACCAGTTATGCAGACGCTTCCTGGGTTGACGACTCATCTACGCAGCGGTCGTCACAGGGTTACACCTTCAGCCTTGGCTCTGGCTCTGTTTCCTGGCGGTCTACCTGCTCGTCTTCGGTTCTCAGCTCCAATTGTGAGGTTGAGATCTACGCCGGGGCCATGGCTGCACAGGAGCTACGCTGGCTCACCTACCTGCTGACTGACTTGGGAGAGCAGCCTCGTTCGCCTCCAGTTCTGTACGTAGACAACAAGGCCATGATTGCCTTGTGTCAGGAGCACAGACTGGAGCACAGAATGAAGCACATCGCTCTGAGATACTTCCTTGCTCGACAGTTGCAGCAGCGTGGCCAGCTTCGTCTTGCGTACGTGGTCACTAGGGCCAACACTGCTGATATATTCACCAAGGCACTTCCGCCTGGTGATCATCAGCACTTCTCTACTGTGTTAGGCCTTGTGCCTACTTTGCCTCACTTGCTTATTGCTTGACTCTGCGTGTACTGTGATCTATATATATCCTTGCATACTTGCACTTGCTAGGATATGATCACTGTATTGTTTGTTCTCTTTATATAACTCTGCATGTGAACTGGCCTTGTGGCTCTTTGCTTGTTCTCGGACTGCATGGTGACTTTGTGATCCACCCTGAGCTTGCTTTGCTTTTCTTGACTGGTCTTGTGACCACTTGTTCTCCCCCACTTTGCCTATGGGGGTGTGTCAGAACATTATAGCTTTTACATTTGTGTAGGCTATAGTGGGGTAGCCCATAAGGGGTATAACCCAATTAGGGTTAGTACTTGTACCCAGCTGTTTCATAGTTCATTCATTCTCGTTCATTGCTTTGACACATAGGCTCCACCGATGATATAATGACCTGGTTTGAAGGGGAGCTGCAGCAGGATCTGACACTCACCGTCGCAACTACCGTGACACAGTACCTAGGACTCAACATACAAGACGTCGACAACGCAATCTACCTCAACGCCGAAAAATGCACAGACACCATCGCT